TTGGGGAAACATGGTTGTTACCATCATTTTCTACATGTCTTAAATTGTGGGAAATAAATTTAAAATGTCAAAAAATGATGAGAATTAAGCTGTAAAAAATTAAGTGAAAAAATGGGTCTAATTTCAGTATTAAAAATGAACCGTTGAGTTTTAAAAAAATTGGATTGCACCATTAAATTCTACACACATTGAAACCTAGGAAATAATTTTAAAATTTCACAAAAGCATAAAAAATAAGGTACATACGTGCATGCAAACAATTAATTGAAAAATAAGTGGAAAAAAAAAATTAATAATCAAAATTCATTTTTATGGAAAATGGACCTTACCATTAAATTCTACACCTTTCATAGTGTAGGAATAAATTTTAAAATTTTGAAAAAACTCGAAAAATAAGCCGTAAAAAATCAATTAAAAAACCGCGTCTAAAAGCGGAAACCGCGTGTGCTGCGGCGCATCAAAACCGCGTCAGAACGCGCAAAAACCGCGTTTTTTTATTAATGCCCATTTAAAATTTCAAAAAAACATAAAAAAATTAGTTAGAAAACTTAATGCAAACAGTTAATTGACAAAATGAGTGAAAAAAATAATGATCAACAGTCATTTTTATGGAACATGGTTTTTACCATTAAATTCTACACACTTCATAGGAAACAATTTTAAAAATTCAAAAAAACTCAACAATTAAGCGGCAAAAAAATAATTAAAAAACTGCGTCTGAACGCGGAATCCGCGTGTGCTGCGCGCAGCACAAACCACATGTAAATGCTGTGGTAAATAATACTGTGTTTCTACGCAGAAAAATATAAAAATTTATTATTATCTCATTATATATCATAGATATGGTAAAAATGACATCAGAAATGGATTTCTCAGGTAAAATAACCCTTACTTTAGTCACCCACTACAACTACCCCCATATCTCTCATAGTTTAGAAGTTACACAGATTTCAACCTATCACGGAATATCTTTTGGATTCTTTACTCTCAGTATGGCTTGTTTTGAATACTGCATGCATATTGAATATTGAACTCCTTTGTTTTGTATTGAATTCCTTTATTGGCACATAGTGCATATTGAATTCCTTTGTGGGTGCACATGCATTCCTTTGTAGTAGGACCTTGTAGGCTAGCAATTCCCTCAAGGCAGTGCTCTCACCAGCCAAATTCCCTCACCTGCAGGTACTAGAATAGCTAAAATCCCTCATTGGATCTTCAGGCCAGCTAAAATGCCTCAAAAGCCTGTACCCTGGGGCTAAAATCCCTCACATTTGTCTATATAAGGAGGCCTCTGCCTGCCAGTTGTTCCCTACATCATCCCACCAGTGGACCAGATCATCTCAAGCACCCTTACAGATTATATACAAGTGACAGCCATAACACTACATTATATTGAAATACAACCATAAAAGTTTCATCATCATAACAAGTGCCAAGTGCCCATAACCTGCCTCACATACCATTACTGGTTGAAGCATAGCACTCTCAGAGCTCCAAGCCTTGGTATTAAAGCTTTGAACAACAACTCCATCAATATAATCATCACTCATTAACAACTTCAGACCCTTATACACATCACTCGGAAGCTTCATCTTGAACTATCCTCTATCACAATAAATATAACTGCCAAGCTAAGCTTGGTGGTCTTGTTGTTCTGATAGCTTAGAAGGCCAGAGCTTGCAACTCCACCATCCCCTTCATTCAGCAAAAGGGTTTCACAACCACTTTTGAGTCTTACAACGCGGATTTACCGCATGTTTTTATTAATGCCCTAAGTTTTTTACCTTATTTTTCAAGTTAGTTTGTAACTTTAACATTGTTTCCTAGGTTTCACTGTGCATAGAATTTAATGATATAATTCAATTTCCAAAAAAATCAACGGTTCATTTTGAATAATCAAATTAGACCTTTTTTTCCACTTAAATTTTGAGAGCTTAATTTTCATTCTTTTTTGACATTTTAAATTTTTTTCCTACACTTTCAGACATTTAAAAATTTATGGTAAAAATCATTTTGCATCAAAATGCAGACTATTAAAAACAGATAAATGTGTCGACCCTCTGTTGTCACAGGCAGCAATTCCCCTTATCCAATGTCTTTCAGTGCGGGTATGGGGACAAAAGTTATGATTCAATACCCTACATCTACCAGCCTGATCCAATTCCATCAACTCCCACACCCCCTTTTTATATTCTGTCTCCTTACCCTCTATCCTGTTTTCTCACCCCTGCGCCCTCAGCTTTCTCCCGCTTTAAGCAACTGCTCCTCCTACCTCTCCCCTTTGTGTTCCATTGCCCGCACCAACCCATCTCCGGATCCCAATTCTCACCACCCGCTTTAAGCAACTCCTCCTCCCACCTCTGCCCTTTGTGTGTTCCATTTCCCATACCCACTTGCCTCCGGATCCCATTTCTGACCACTTTATTCCTTCCCTGGTCCCTGGTCCCCACCCCCTTACAACTGCTCCGGGTCAACAACAGTACTTCATCCTATTCCCCTTCCCACCCCCCCCCCCCTTCTCATTCAACCTGTTCCTCAGTCCGCTATCCTTACTTGATCCAATTTCCATTTCAATTTGCATTCATCAGTTCTTTTCTTTCCATATCCGCAGCCTCGCCGCCTCATTCTTGCTCCAATGTTGCTTAATCCAGTGCCGTTTCCTGGTTCCTAGCCCCAATCACATTCACCAAATTTCCATTTTAATTCTTATTCCTCACCTCACCTTTTGTCCACCTTCAACCTCACCGACTCTTTGTTGCTCCGGTGTTACTTAATCTGGTACCGGCTTCTGATCTCCACTCCAACTATGAGCCAGGTGCGTTTCAGTAGAATTATGAATAAAGGTGTTCAGGAGGTTGCTGGATTTGGGACTTAAGGTGAGATGACATTTTTGGTGGAGGGAGTTGAGAGGTACAAAGAACCTCAGATCAATTGAGGTAAAAGATTTGTGTCCTCAGGTACTTTACATTTTGGGCTAGGGGTCGGTTACTTGAGAGTGAGTATTTCGCGGTAAGGAAGCAGTCCAGAACAGTGACAATCCGGATTTGGCTTCTGGAGGTGAGCATGGTTATAATCCTGGTAAAAGTATTTGTGTCATTTTTGTGGAGGTTCAGTGAATATGTGAACATCAATCAACTGGGACAGGTATAAAGTAGCCTGGATAGGGCCCAGTTCTGCTTAAAGCACTTTGACAGATCAGTGATAGGGGTGCAGCAAAGCCGCGAGTTCCCTAGTATCTTGAAAACTGCATTTGACACCGTTTTTTTTATTTAATTCTTCACTTTTTCACTTAATTGTTTGCATACATGTGTGTACCTTATTTTTGATGTTTTTTTTGAAATTTTAAATTTGTTTCCTAGGTTTTAATACATCTAAAATTTAATGGTATAATCCAAATTTCATAAAAATCAAAGGTTCATGTTTAATACTGAAATTAGACACTTTTTCAATTAATTCTTTACATGTTATTTCTCAATATTTTTTGACATTTTAGATAAAATGATGGTAACAAGACTTTTTCATAAAAACCAAAGATTTCTTGAATATTGCATTTGACGTGTGTTTTTGATTAATTCTTACACACTTAATTATCCTTATTTTATGGAATTTTAAGTTCATTTCCTACATTTTGAAAGGTTTTAAAACTGATGGCTGTATCCATTTTGCATTCAAATAAAATTTGTATACAGTACAAATTATGCAAGAAATGGGGTACGCTCATATATGATGATTGAAGCTTGTATTTTTTTAGGGAATTAAGTTTCACTCATTTTCTTTTGATTGGATATGGTCCAAACCAACTTGCACACTTCCCATCCTGCTAGACCTACGTCCAGATTTGAGTGTGCGGTTCCAGATACAAACTCGGCTTCTAGGAGATCAGGAAGCTTTGGGGGTCCCTCTTCTCCTGGATTGCAACAGGCAACCATTTTGGTGTACTGATTCAGCTTTCCACTGCTAGTCTGCTGCCATTGAGAGTTGATACTGACAGGTGGTTTACGTACCTGTAGGTTGTAGGTTGGATTTGTAGTCAGGACTCCAGGAGTGCAAGCAAACTCCTAGGCTTTGTAAAATCTCTTTGCTGTGTTCTTATTCTTCACTTCTTATAGGAGTCAATGGTCATGGGGGATCTTCCTTGCAGCCCAATGGGTACCTATTGGGAAACCTGCAACGACCCGTGCCAACTGTTGGACCCAATCTGTCGGGTCTGAACGGGGAAATTCCCAGCAATATGTGACCAAACCCGCTTGGGTTTGGGTGGCCCATTGGCGGACCGACCCAATAGCCATCCTTAGTTTCAATGATTTTAAAATGAATAATAAGCAATCCTCTTCTCTAGTAGTGTTTTCAAGAATTGGAAGACAATTTTACTGATAAATCTAGCAGGGAAGAGAGCTTGTATGATTGAAGCAAAAAAAAATGAGTTCATTGACATGATTGTGAATTTATTGCACAATTTTTGAACTAATTGATTACAGGAAAATAAAAAAACTGAGGTATTTGAGGCATGTATCCGGTGGAAATCACTTTGTGTTCCACAGGAGAATACTGACCCAAGGGGACTTCTGGTACTTCTCCTTCTCTCCACAGATGGCAGCACTATGTAGTAGTGTGGAATCAAGTTTTCAATATGTTTCCTTTTAATTTCACAAATGAAAATTATAGCTTTTCCCTTCTTTCTTATTGTGGTTATTGCCATTCCTTTTTATTGCAACAGTCGATGTTAGAATATCATACTATGATTCTATAACCAATTAGTGTGAGTTTGTACTGAAGATGCTTCCATGGAATTGATCATTCAGAATTGGATGCTGATTAAACCCACATCAGTTAGCGCGGGATGTCGTCTGGCCAGCCGGGCCTTGTGGCATCATGGCATGTGCCCGCGGGCCCTGACACAACAAATATACTAGTCTCATTCTGATCTGCGCCTTCATCCCAGTTCAAGACCAACATCGACCGATAAACTCAAAGCCCCATCAACCCCAACCCATGAACTCATGTACGCCGTCCTCCGCCAAGCTTCATGCTTCGTTTCTGTTTGCACGGGCAACAACCAGCGTACTTTCCGACGGGGGCCAGTAGGTACCTATTGCACACAATTGACTCTTGGGTCCTATTACTAACCACCCTCCCAGCTCTCAGCCCGTTTCCTAGCAGAACATCAGCACAATCTTTCTACAATACATACGGTTCTGAGCATGCTGCCCGTTTCTACAACCGACCTCGGGAAGTCAAAGAACTTGTCATTCGATTGAAAGATGAACCCACTTTCACGGTCCTGCTAGGACCACCCAGCTCGGGGAAGACCGCACTCGCTCGAGCCGTTACATCCCTACGCCGCGCGGATCAAACCCCTGAGTTTCATCCATTAACAATCGATCTCCGTGCAGCCGACACTATGAAAAACGGCAGCTTTCTGAACGCTTTTCTGCTCCAAGGGCAACGTCATGCGATCGAAGGAGGCTGGTGGAATAAATGGCTCAGCGGGCTCGAAGTGTCGGCTGGTGGAGTCTCTGCCAAGTTTGGCAACAAAACGGTTTTCCCAGCTTCGGCAGGTAACATCTTTGACGATCTGGCAACGCAGCTTAAGCCATGGGACCTTGTTCACGGCGGAAGACCCCCAATAATAGTAGTGGATGAAGCAAACTTTTTTAAACGGATTGAGGACGACGTATGTCCCTTGTCAATTGCCTATTTAAATGGAAGCTCAATATCTACTGACATGATCATACTCCAGACAACGCAGGCGTTCCTTGACTTTGCCGTTCGAATCACGAAACAGGAAATGAAGATGCACATCATTTTCACGTCATCCGACTCATTCTTTGTGAATTGGCTCCAAATATTCATATCACAGAGTAATCTGTGATTCTGACACAATCTTTGTTGAATATTTAGGTGTCAATCCCACTCACTTTTCAACACTTGTCGTTGGTGACCTGCCCCAACAAGAGGCACACAATTACTTCCTCCATGTGGTCGAAACCCATCGCCAGCTTTCAGAAAAAACAAAAGACTTTCTAAAATCATTGGACTTTAAGATTCCTTTTAAGATGACTGGAGGAAGAATGTTCTTTATCAGGAAAATATGTCTCACAAGTTTGTCAATCTGGCTACTTTGAAAATCGTGCGTATGAATGGTACATTTAGGTCTGAATTCAAGAGAGACAGAAAGCTAATTGAATATCATTTCACTTCAGCTATGCTCTTTGAACCTGTCACAAATGTGTACGCCTCAATGGGAAGCAACTTTCTTGGGAAGGCAACGACATACAAGAAACAGCAAGCGGTTGATGTCGCTCAACTTCTCGTTGAATCGCCTGGATACCTACCTTATGCCAACCTTGTGGAGACGTTTGGCGACACAGTGGTCGAAGAAATGATCGAACGAAACTTCCTGCATTATCGACCAAGTGCCACGTTCTCCAGGGATTTGCTGCCTTCTCCTTCCGAGCCAGTTTTGACTGCTCAAAGTGCACCTGCCTTATGTGCCATGGAAGAGCTGTTAGAGAAGTTTGGAAAGTAGTAATAGTTGGGAGTTTTTCTAAGCTGGAGTGTAAAGATATTACCAATCACAAGAAATTATATCATCTCCAGTTTACATTCTCTGGGAAATGAAAGATTATTTATCACTTTTTGTTATCTGGTTTGTGAATCTATTGTCCTGGCATACCCAATTGATCAAGTCTACAAAACATTTTAGGTGACTTCTTCTGTGGTGCTTGTGAACATTTTCTTTTGATTTTCCTTCCAAAAACAGTCAATATGATTGCATTGTGGTGTAGGGTTTGGCTCTCTATTTAGATAAAACATTGTCTCCCTGAATTGTATACTTGAGACACTCCAAAATCAAACAATGATGTTACCAAGAAAAGTAGGTTGTAGTACTTGGCAGTGTTTATAACTTCAGCTATGTGATTGCAAGCTGTGCTCTACATGTCCCTGCCTAATTCATGGCATTGCTTGACTACACAGTAACCAAAATGTATGAATTTTTGGTCAAAAAACAAAAAAGGTACTCACCCCAAATGCATGAATGGCCATTTTTGCCTCATAAGGTACTCACCTCAAATGTCTTCAAAATCCAAGGAATGATTGAATTTCTTGAACTTAATTAGTGGGCATATGTTTCATCATCACAGCAGCTTCTTTGTTTTTATCAATAGCAATGCTTACTCCTCAAACAACATGTCCAAGAGCTTTGAGTTCTTCAAAACCAAATTGACATTTATTCATCAAAATCGGGGGTTGATAAGCGCACGCCAGCTGCAGATTGGCGTGTGCGCCTGCACGCCATTGCAGAATGGCGTGCAGGCAGGCACGCCACTTGCCTGCAGGGGGTATACCCTGCAGGTTGGCGTGCATGCCTGCACGCCAGGCTGTCCCATATAGAGATGTCGCTTGATACCCGGGTACCTGCCTCAAAAATCCAATATTTTTGACACCCGCACCTGCACCTGCACCTGCTAGGGCCACCAGGGCGGGTACCCGGGTACCTGCGGGTACCTGGCACATTTTTGCAGGAAAATATACCCAGAAATCTCACCCTTGAATTTCTGAATAACTTGGTAAATATAAGATTGATATTCACTAGATATATGAGTAAGAATAAAATGAAAATAAAGAAATAAAGAAAAACAAATTATTCTATCACCAATTTGAATTTTATCCTCTCTGATCTATCTTTAGCTTTACCATTTTGCTTGGCCTCATTTGCCATATTCAATTTCCTTTGATGAAGACTGTACACCGTCTTTATGACTGGAGGAATTTCTCCAGTCATCAAGATTGTACACCATCTCAAAGGCCGGAGGAGAACCCTCTGGCCTCAACAAAGCAACCATATTAGTTCAGCACCACAGTTAGGACCCCATCTGGTGTCTTACATGGGTTGCTAACACCTTTGTGCAGCCAACACACCCAAAAAAGGGAGTGTTGGGACCACCAAATGATAAATTAAATTCTTCAGGGGAAGCATTCCCAGGGGCGGGTGTAAGGGCGGGTACCCGGGTACCTGCCTTTTTTTTACCACAAATGTTGACACCCGCACCTGCACCCGCACCCTGTCTTTACCGCAAATGTTGACACCCGCACCCGCACCCGGTACCTGTTTTCGGGTACCTGCTTTGGAAAACAGGTACCCGCAAACAGGTACCGGGTACCTGCTGACATCTCTAGTCCCATAGGACCCAGGCATGGGTCCTATGGGACGGCCCCGCTGTTTTTTTTTTTTTTTTTTTTTTCAAACCCCCTTGGCCTAGAGAGGCCGAGGTCACACCGCCGGGAGGAACCCCTCCCGGCAAGCCTGTGTACATGCCAGCTCGTCGGAAGGAATCCCTTCCAACGAGCTGGTATAAAAACCAGCTCGCCGGGAGGGACCCCTCCCAACAAGCTGGGTTATGTACCCGCTTGTCGGAAGGGTTTCCTTCCGACGAGCTGGTATAAAGACCAGCTCGCTGGGAGGGACCCCTCCCGACGAGCTGGGTTATGTACCCACTCGTTGTGGTAAGCCAATCCTGAAAATCCAATCACAGCAAGAGTACAAATCACAGAGGAATCACAGGATCAAGACACACCAGAAAGCTCCCCAGACCCTCAAACCAATCATGAATTCACCCAAGCACAATCCACATGGATAATAATATTTCCCAGCCAGAAACTCCACACCCTTGAAACTCACTCCCCTCCAAACAATTCTATTCTTCCTCCCCCTGGTGTCTCACACTAGTAACAATCCCCCTGATCCATGAAACAGTTATTTCCTCCTATCTCCTTCCATGGAATATTCCACCCCTTAGTTGTTTCATACTAGTAACCTTGGGAGCATTTTCCCACTGCTTGTTTCTCCTATTTTCTCTGGATAAATATTTTCCCTTGGTTCATACTCTTCATAGAATGTTCCATTTATCTTCCAACCACAAGCTGGCCACTCCCCAGAATTTTGTATATAAGGAGCTTTGTTTTTCCTCTTCATTTGTTCATCATCAGATCCTGCCCCAGCAATTCAGATAACTGATCACCCATTATTAGCCAGGTATTTGCCCATCAACATTTGGGATACCTTTATTTGTGAACAAGTATATTTAGACTAGTAAACATAAGAAATATTAGACATACCATCCTCAAGAAATCTCCAAAGCCACACCTTTCCTTAAGAGTCCATACTCTTATATTTTCTTGTTATCAGAGAGGCAGCCCAATAAAGCACTCATCCCTCTCAAGCTCTATTCCTCCCAAGAGTAGTTCCACATCGTCGGAAGGGTTTCCTTCCGACAAGTGGGTACATAACCCACCTCGTCGGAAGGAAACCCTTCCGACGAGTGGGTACATAACCCACCTCGTCGGAAGGAAACCCTTCCGACGAGTGGGTACATAACCCACCTCGTCGGAAGGGATTCCTTCCGACAAGCTGGCATGTACAGTGGGTGGACCGTTATTTTTGGCTGCTTGTTTTGGATTCTACAGCTTCAAAGCACAAACTTCAAGTCACAAGACTTGGTGAAGGGGTGAAGAATAGATCCCAGAAAATGAATATGAAGAAATAAAAACAAAAAACAAAGTTTCAAAATTTGTGAAAAATAAAAAATAAAAATGTTTTTTTCCAAAAGCTTTATTATTCATTTGGGGGGAGTGGGAGTGCTGAGAGAAGGAAAGAGTGGAACATGACAAGAATGATTATAAATGAAAAAAATTGGAACCAAAAAAGGTTGAGCCAGGTTGGTTGTCCAGATTGGAGTCAAAACAGTAAATTCTAGTGCTTTACTGCAATGTGAGCTGGTGAATGCCCCACTCAACAACTGGTTAAAACTACTTGGTAACCACTTCCAAAATTTTCATTTATAATCATTCTTCCCGTTTCCCTTTCTTTCTTTCTCTCTGCACTCACACTTCCCCAAAATGAATATCAAAGCTTTTGAAAAAAATCAATTTTATTTTTTATTTTTCACAAAATTTGAAACTTTGTTTTTGGTTTTATTTTTTCATATTCATTTTTCGCAACCTATTCTGCACCACTTGACCAAGTCTCGTGACTTCAATCTGGTGCTTTGAAGCTCTGGGATCCAAAAAACCAGCCAAAAATAATGGTCCACCCACTGTACACAGGCTCACCGGGAGGGGTTCCTCCCGGCGGTGTGACCTCGGCCTCTCTAGGCCGAGGGGGTTTGAAAAAAAAAAAGAAAGAAAGAAAACAGCGGGGCCGTCCCATAGGACCCATGCCTGGGTCCTATGGGACAGCCCAGGTCCTAAACGCATATAAATATGCGTTTAGGACCCATATTGGGCGTGCAGGCAGGCACGCCAACCTGCAGGGTATACCCCCTGCAGGCGAGTGGCGTGCCTGCCTGCACGCCATTCTGCAATGGCGTGCAGATTGGCGTGCGCTTATCACCCCCCATCAAAATCTTCATATTCATTTTTATGATTCTGTCTAAAGCAATTTTCAATTTTCCAAGATGATCATTCCATTCAGTAATGAAAATGATAATATCATCAATGTTAATGATTAACCATCCTTCCCGTAATTCTTTATGAAATTCAGTATCCATCATTCTTCAAAAGTGAGAGGGGGCATTCTTAAATATTCATAAATACACATATGTAATCTTATTCTCATTGAATATGTACCATCTTTGTGAATAGCATTTTGATGAAAAACTTCCATGCATGTGATATATTTTGCATTTCGTAGCTGAGTAATTGCTGAACTAATTTTTGGCATAGGATATCTGTCAAAAATTGTATAATTATCTAATGCTCTCCAATCTCAAACTATTCTACATATACCATTATGCCACACAATAATTACAGGATTGATTACTTCAAAATTTTCATTAGCTCCAATTTTTATAAGTACATTCATTTTTACCAATTCAGTTACATGCCGTTGTAATGCTTCTCTGATCCTTGGTGACACGGGGTAAGCAGCTTTCCTTAATTCTGGAGGGTAATTTCTAGATGTATTAAGATTAATTCTGACTTTATGTCCTTTCATATATCCAAAAGATTTATTAGTAGTAGCAACGGTGGGCCGCTACACTGACCGTAGCGGTTATTGTAGCATAATGCAGCGGAATTGCTGTTAGCGCTAAGTGTAGCGTAGCGGAATTCCGCCACAACACCGCTAACGCTACGCATGTGGGCCACAAAAAAGGGGCCACTACGCTGCACTACAGCGCTTTTTAGAGGTTTTTGGCCGCTTTTTCCGCTAAAAGCGCTGTAGCGCAGCGTAGCGTAGCAAAAAACCGCTAAAAAACGCTAACACTACACTTTTTTGATGAAAAAAGCGCCGCTATGCTACACTTTTTGGGCCAAAAGCGTAGCGGCCCACCGCTGGTAGTAGCAAAATCTATTTCTTCTTGAGAAGTAATGAGTATAACTGATTTTTCTCTTCTTTACTCAAACTTTCTGATATTTTAGCTTCTTCAATGGTTACCAAGTTCATTTCATCTGTAATAAACCAGGGGAAATTACAGAGCACTGGTCAGCCAGTGACTACATGTCACCATAAAATCAGAAATAATTTCA